TTGAAATGAATGTTTGTCCAACAAGTAATTGTTTTTGAAATTCAATTATAACGTATTTTATAACTAATTTAATTGAGTTGCTGCTAGGTGAGTACACAAACGCCAAATAGTTTGCTGGTTTTTTCCCCCCTTTACTGGCAAATAATCGTAAAAGTGCACGTAACTGCTTAGAGGCCAACAGCGCAGTTTATGATGCTTGGAATATGATTACAGCTACTTCCGCTTGGAAATGTGTGTATGTATACACATTTATGTAAGAGCACTAGGAATTTCCAAATTTTTTACTATGGTAACTTTTGAGACTACGAAACAATTTTGCTATAAAAATCAAATTCCGTTAAAACTTGTGTATTTTTAATATATATATATATATATTTTTTTTCGTTTGCACCTTTGAAACTCTAATTTAGTCCACTTTCATTAATTCTCATTCAAAGGCAGGTGGAAAAAAATGTTTTAGCCAAGTCTTCTAATTTATGGATAAATTCTCCAACATATTAATGCACCTATCTGCAGCTTCGGAGAATTTCATGCTGCATACTTACCTCTACTTCCTTTCCTTTCCTCCATCTTATCTCCTCGCGAAAAAGGACAATGAAATTATCGGGAGCCTGAAAAAAAATCAATTACTGAAAACTTAAAAAAAAATATTAAAAATAACAGTACAATTAACCGCTATTGAAAAGTCTTTTCTTACCAAAAATATGTTCCGACTCCAAAGTTTTCTTGCTCAACAAGGTGGGTACTCCCTAATGTGCACATTTGTGGCTTTTCGTGTGCTCGAACGTGCGTGAGTGCAACAGGATGCCTTGCTTTTATGCACTCGAGCAGCGAAACAGTTTTGTTAGCTGAAAAGTGGACATTATTATGACTGGCACGTGCTTGTACTGCAACATTGAAAACGCGCTCCAAGCAGCATTTCACTTTCTTGCCTGGCAAGCAGGCTCACACTCTACGGCATACTAGCGCCAAAAAACTACATCAATTTTTTACAATTTTTTCTTTTTTTTTCTCATTTCAAAAAACCAACGAAATATAATAAAATAGAAATAAAATTCGAACAATACTATAACAGTGTGCGCAAATAATAAGCGAACACTTGCAGTTTTCATTGCAATTTTAAGTTGCCAAAAAAAAAACTGCTTTCAAGCAAGTCAAGTGTTTGCTGCAGCATTTGCTAGGAATTTATGCTCTCGCTTTTTTTTTTTGTTTCTTCTTTTGTTTTTCAGCTAACGCTTTTCTGCTTGCATTGTACTTTTTGCCCGAAGCCAATGTTTTTCCGCTTGCCCATTGCTTATAACCTAGTGTTTCTTCGTTGTTGTTTTGCCACAGGGTTATTCATTAGGAGAACATGTGTCTTGCGTAAACAGAGAATCAGACACACACATACATGCACACACATACTTAATACAATTATATATATGTATACAAGAAAAGCTCAGTATGCGAGTCAAGTGATACGCATATCATTGCTTGTAAAAACACACACACACTCATGCACACATACCATACACAAATACGTATTGCATACATATGTATATGCCATCTTGCATATAAATGCATTTTAGTGTAATATAAAAACAAATAATACACGCTATAGCAGCCACATATGTGTATCATAAAACGGCATATATATATATGCATTTATTTGTCTGCCAAACCGCCTGTGGCATGCTACTGCTGCTACTTTCTACGTGACGTCGACGTAAGCGTTGCGGGAGCATGTAATTTCAACACATACACACAACACTAGTGTATATGTATATGCGATTGGTTCATTTATATTGTATGTATAATTGCAATCTGTTTTTTGTTTTGTTTTTGTTCATATTTTTATTACAGATCCAACAACAAATAGAACAACATTCAATACGAAATGTGCAATGAAATTGTATTAGAAAATATTTTATTATTTGTATTGCTTGCACAAAGCCAAGCCAAAATACTCATAGTTATGTAATACTCTCACGTGTGACTGTATATGTATGCTTATATGAGCATACTATTTTATTTCCTTAACCACACATACACACACACACACAAACAAATATTATATGTGCATAGTTAACAAACGCTTTGTTGAACATATTCATTGATTTTAAATTACTTTGGGTACATAGAAACAACTAAACAACAACAACTAAAATTGGCCTCCACTTTTTCTGAATGTACAAAAATCTAGTAATAAAATCCTCAATGGATTTTAAAAAATTTTCTCCAGTCCTGATTTTTTGGCCTCTTAAGAGTGACAGCACTGTGAATGCTGAAAGTCGAATCGAGCGTAAATAATATGAGTTCAATAAATCAATTTTGGAACTTTATGGACAGGAATCAGGACTCTTTAAGAAAGACTGGTTCCCCAGAAATTTGACTTTCGAGAGCAAAAAAAAACACATATAATTTAAGGTTATGATAAGGGTTTGCCATAATATTTTTTTAAAAATTTACTTTTTGCAAGTGACCGCCGCGGTTAGTGTGAATAAATTCCATTCCGAGGTCCAATTTTCGACCACATCAAGCGATGCTTAATCGGACGATCTTCCAGGCCACGTCACAAGCCAATGGTGTGAGATAATTCACTAGCCGGAAGTTTCCTTTAATAAATTGATTATTCTGTTCGCTGTAAGGCATCTTGTTGGAACCAAAAGTCGTTCACATCAACAACCTCAAATTCAGGCATGAAAAAATCTTTAATCAAGCCTCTGTTGGTTTTCGCATGGACTTGTCACAATATGGCCCACCTTAGTTGTAAGGATCAATGATACCCTCTGCCTATAAATCACACCTAACAATGACCTTTTGGAAATGTCACGGCGTCATCATTCCAACAGCGACAATTTTATTTATTTATTCAAACAAAAGTGAGCTTCATCGCAGAGTAAAATTTTCCTGGGAAAGTCGTCTACCGAAAAAGCAACGTAAGTTGGATATTGTAAGCTCACAGACCACGATTATTCCGCAATCGTCCATAACATAAAGTGGATGGGCACGATTTGGGGACATGCACCTAGAATATCTGTATCGAGTACGGAAGCCAGAAGGTCCTTGTCGTCGCCGAGCACTAGCACTTACTTAACGAGGGAAGGGGAAATATATCCTATCATTAAACAAATAGTTATTACAGTATTATAACCAACAACAATGTCAACATGAAAATTCAACGCAGAATCACTTTTGCCAACAGTTGCTATTTTGGACTGAGTAGGCAATTGAAATCGTTCTCGCCGAACGAAGACCAAACTCTACAAGTGGTTCTTCGTTTCCGTTCTGGTGTATCATGAGGAGGCATGGACGATGACAACATTTGATGAGTTGACGTTAAGAGTTTTCGAAAAGAAAAGTTTAATTAACTTTTATGGTTGTCTGCGAGTTGAGAAGGGTGAATACCGCAGCCGATGGAACGACGAGCTGTACGGAATAANTTGCCCTCGCCACTTTCTGAAAATCGTGTTTGGTGAGTTTAACGCCTGGGTGAAGGCTATGGGTCTGAAAGTTAACGAGGGAAGGGGAAATATCTCCTGTCTTTAAACAAATAGTTATTACAGTATTATAACCAAAAACAATGTCAACATGGAAATTCAACGCAGAATCACTTTTGCCAACAGTTGCTACTTTGGACTGAGTAGGCAATTGAAATCGTTCTCGCCGAACGAAGACCAAACTCTACAAGTGGCTCTTCGTTCCCGTCCTACTATATCATGCGGAGGCATGGACGATGACAACATTTGATGAGTTAGCATTAAGAGTTTTCGAAAAGAAAAGTTTAATTAACTTTTATGGTTGTCTGCGAGTTGAGAAGGGTGAATACCGCACCCGATGGAACGACGAGCTGTACGGAATAAACGCCGTCATTGACATATTTGTAAAGGGAAGAGGTCTGGCTTCTAAATAAAATCCCTCCGGCCGTGAGAGCCTCCTACACTTACTTTCTGGATATGCCTTTTTACATAAAAAAACGAGAGGTTATAAGATATATTTAAATAGTGGCTGTTCGTTCTGTTTCTTTCTTCTTAATAAACGAAAAACTGCCTACGATATTGCTGATGGTCGCTTCTTCATCATATGATTCTTTCGTCAATGATTTACTGCATCGAATTCTTTGAGAGCTGAAGAATTTTCGATCAGCTGGTCGATATAATGTAACCGCGAAACCGCTGTCCTTCTTACGCCGAACGTCGTTCCATCATCTATGATATTCCACGTTGCCAATGCAACAAAGGACCATAAATTTTCTGAAAAAAAGCTTGCTGCTGAAAACTTCCAATGTATACTCCACGGAGTATACTATAAGCGGCATAGGAGTCACAAGAGTTCCGTTCGTCCATTCGCCTCGCTTTCTTCACCAATCTGCGAAAAGCAAAGCTTATCATGCGGTTGTCTATCTCATCGAAATATGCATGCGGAAGATCGCAGCTTTTCTATTAAGTTTGGCAACACGTAATTTTGTCTAGTAGTAAACTAAGGAAGTTACCTTATGGGAGGAGCTGTTTATTTTTAGTTTAGTTTGGTTTAGTCTTGACGTGAAACTATATTTCATAGAGGTCTATAGCCAACTATTTTTTGTGCTTTCAAAGAAGGCGTTGTCCGAAAATTTTCTGCAAAGAAGCTGGTACATGCACCTTATCAGTTTTTCACCGCTATCTGGAACAGCTCAGTAGGTAAGCCATTGCTTCTCACTGTTTTGTTATTCTTCAAGAGGACAATTGCCTGTCGATTCTCATCCAGGCGGTTTAGGAAACAAACATACCAACGTCATAGGTTGGTGTTTCGTATTAGACAAAATCGCATGATTAATCATCACTTAATTTTGAAATTTTCTAAAAAAAATTAATAATTCCATAACATTTGTTAGTGATTCTCATGTTGGACTTTTCCTCTCTCGCTTCTCTTCTTCCACTCTAATGTGCATTTTTTGAGACTTTTTTTATTTCATCTTTTTATTTTATATCTTTATATTGACTGTAATGAAATATACTTCTTTATTTTTCGTTTTATTTCAGTCGGAGGCTATAATAGGCAGAAGAGGTGTAAAGTTCCACCCACAATCTTTCATGTGTATTATGCCCCAAGGATATCCGGATGCACCAAATCACGTAAGTTCAGTTAAAAGAACAAAATAAAAAAGGAAATTATTATAATAACTTAAACCACTCGCACAAACATATGCACATTATGGTGTGGTTAATTATACAAAAAATATTTTAAAATTATTATACAGGGTTATCCATTTTGCGTTCTCGAGAATAAGCATGAGTTAAATGCAATAGTTTTTTTTCGTGAAACCCTTTTTTTATTATAAAGTGTGAATCTTGGCAATTTATTTAAAACGCAACACCATTAAATGACCGCCTTTCGTTTGAAAAATTCGTTTGAGGTAATTTCGACCACTTTTCTGCACATATTGGGCGGTATCCCAGTCAAAACTACAAGAAAATTGCCTGGCTAGTACTCAAGAGTCAAATGTATATACGCTTAAACAAGTTGTCCGCACAAAAAACACAATTCAACGGCTCGCCATGGCCAGAGTTTAAATTTCTCTCGAATTAAAGCCATATTCGCGCGTGTTGTATGGCGTACGGTACCATCTTCTTGAAACCTCATGTTTTCCAAATCGTGTTCTTCATCAGCCTGCCAAGAAAAGTTATCGTGGACCAAAAAGTTCCGAATTGACAGTGATAGACTGATCATTTATGATTTCAAAGTAGTAAGGTCCAATCACAACTACGGAGACAAGAATGAACCAGAGAGCAAGTATTTTTCTGGTGTGACAGCCTCTCTCCAATTTCTTTAGATTTCTCGCATCCCCAAATGTGAATTTTTTGTAGTACTTCTTGACAGTTTCAACGCATTTTGCGGTTGTTAAGCGATCCATGAATACCTAAGTTTTAACTATAAAAAATCATAATACAGCCCTAGGCTTTTTAAATCTCGAATTGGATAACCCTATTAAAAAACTTCGAACGGAAATTTTCAAAAATTACGCAGACCCTACCACATAATATTAATATAAGTAAGACTTATCAAAGCGGTGGACAGTGATTGACAATGACTGTAATGTTGAAGAGAAACAAAAACAATGGGGAAATGTTGAAAGGTACATAACCGTTATGCACAACTTACGTACAATGGAAAAGGAAAAGAAATTTACCCAAAAAATCACTGGTAGAACAATACGAGTAAAGAAAGTCAAAGGCAACTGATAATATGCCGCAAACAGAGAAAATATTAAAGGCTATACAGTAGACAGGACAAGAAGAATATGAAACAATCGAGACTTAACATTAACAAAGCGCATTAAATCAGGAGAATGTAAAGAAAACTTGAATAAGAAGAAATCGTACAGCAGCATATATTTTTTGTTATTTTAATTTTTTTTTTTTTACAAATACACAAACGATTGTTAACCAACAGCGGCTGCAAGTGCTGCTGCCTTTTTCATTTATCGCTTTAAGTACATACATATGTATATGTATTTATGTTTAAACTGATAATATTTTAATTTTTTCAGAGCCACTTTCCATCGATCGAAATACCAGCTTTTGATACTTACCGTCACCGAACTTTATACGAATTCTCCAATTTAAAGAATCCAGCACCGCCTCGAATAATCGAAGACATGCCTCCTTATGATTACCTTATAGATCCAGATAGATTGTATTCAAGATTTTATAATCCAGAGGACGATTTTTATTATTTATTGCGAGTTATAGACAGAGGAGGGCATATTCCGTCTTCTATTACAGAGCAAATGGCAATTAATATAAGAGCAATAAGAAAAACAGCAGGTAGACCATTATCGAGCACAACGAGCCAACAAACATTGCCAACTCACAAACCTATTCCAGCGAATAGTAAAGCAGCAATCGATGCAAGGAAAAGGCAAGAAGAAAAGCATCCCAATACATTTAAATTTGATAGAATGGAAGTTGTTGTTGAAGAAGGTCCTCCAACAGAGATGGCACCTGCAATACCCAGAACGCAAGGGGCAATTAAACGAACACTAACTTATGTGCCAGGTCCCCCAGATGAAATGGCGCCAAAACCACCAATAGCCGTACTTTCACCACCAAGACCACCAAAACCTAATGAACAGAAACTGGTGGAAATAAACGAAACAAACATGCCTCCACCAAGGCCACCAAAGAGTAAAGAGCATACACCGGTACGCGAAATAATAGAAGTAAGCGAAACAATGGAAACAGAAGAAGTTCCAACAACAAGCAAAAGTCCAAGAGAGCTCACTGCAGAAGTGACTCCACCAAGACCACCGAAAAGTGATTGGATTAGAGCGCTGTCGGAACCGAAAAATAATCTCGAAGTACATGCCACGTGTTCACCAGAATGTTCAACAACAATAAACGAGAATATGGGTGCTATACCAAGATACACTGGAACAATTCCCAAAACTAGTAGAGAAAGGAGTTCAAATTCAGATTATGACACAGTCTACCCACGAATCAAGTTAGGTGGAACAAGAGAATCAGAAGAGACTCTATCATCACGTCTGGGTGCAATGAAAATCTCAAAGAATTTTCCAGAAGAAGGAGAAAAATCAAAAATCCCGAGATATAGACCGATATCTGCACCGCAACAACCAATGGAAACAGCACTAATACCGAGCTTGTTGTCAGTGTGTACAACAATGGAAGACGAGTTTCCAGTAGCGAGTGGAGAGGCAATACGACCAACAAGTAGGGTCGAGGTTCCAATAACGAACCAGCAAGAAGCAGCGTTAACGAATGAGCCTGATGACTTTTCAAGTATAACTGATTCATCGATATCAATCTCTCCATCGACAAGTACTTCTCAATCACTTTCGTACCTGAAAAGCATGGTAACTTCGCCAACCAGTCCAAATAGCTCAGATAATCAGGATGATAATAAACTTAATGACCCAAGTTGTACCGACAGTTCAGATGCGATCATAAGGACTGATACCAGAATGAGTCCTAAAAGTAAATCAAACTCGCCAAAGTCACCAAAATCGCCCGTAACACCAATAACGCCAATAACGCCAATAACGCCAATAACACCAATAACGCCAATAACGCCAATAACGCCAAATACGCCAATAACACCAATAACGCCAAAATCGTCAAAATCATCAAATTCGCCAAAAACGTCAAAAACGCAAATAACGCCAAAGTCGTCAAAATCATCAAATTCGGCAAAAACGCAAAAGTCTCCAAAATCGAAATCAAGTCCGCCATATACTAGAGTCATAGAGCCCAGCCCAACTGACAGTTCAGATCACATGGTACGAACTAATATTAAAATCAGTCCAAAAAAGAAGGAAAAGAGTCCAATTAAAATATTTAATCCGGTCGCATTTGCAACTAAAGCGGTTTCAAAGCTAAAAAGAACTGCAAAAGAAAAAACGGGCATGCCTTACCATAAACTCCCAGGTATGAATATTAGTGAGAGTACACTTCGGCTCCTCGAAAGTGATCCGACAACGACCGAACCAGAAGATTCAGCAACAGAAGACCATGGAAATGAATCGGAAGATAGTCCTCAAACGTATGAAGACGAAATTTGAGTAGCTTTAGCACAAAGCAATTGATTTTTTCCTATTTTTAATATGTACCCTCACTACCTAGCACACCTTTTTGAGTTCAAATGTTCGATTTTTGTATTTCACGATAGGAAATTTTCGTCTCGTTGATGTAGCTGTTAAACATTCGTGAATTGAGTAATTTTATTTGACATACTTATTATGATCAGCTTTCGTGTGAAAGTTGAATTCAGGAGAACGTTCGTGCAATTAATGTGTCTTGCGTATTAAAAAAAAAATGCTTAAATCTTATTACGCTTAAAAGTTATATCCTTAATTTGGTTTTATGTCGAAAAGTTTCAAGAAAGCCAATATTTAAATCTAGTTGAGTAGATGTGGTTATTGATGTTTCCACATAAAATACTTAGACCAGGGTAGCTTCATTGTAATAACAAAATGTTGTTTGACCCACTTCGATCCTCTGACAAACCGGACACATGTAATGTAACAAACGCTGTCAGCGTATCTTGATGTACCACCTTTATTCTGTTACTTGGTCTCCAAGCGGTCTGTATTTGATAAGGTAAATCGTATAATCCTTTAATGACCTTATATGAATCTTCCCAGACGCATTGAAATTTTTTAGGCAAACTTTTCTTCCGTAGTAGATTGTATAGCAACACTAAATCCCCATTTGGAAACCCTCGGAGCTTGTCGCCTTACCGTACCTGGCCTTCATCTTGTCACTCTTTATTTGAATTTGCTGTCTCACAAAAGAGCTTCTTCTAGACGTTTTCTTACAAATTCTTATTGCATCACTCCAAACTTCAGATCACTAAGCAACCGAAGCTTAATGTTGAATAGTAACTTTGTGTCGACCGATATCCCACCATCAAGAGTGGTACAAATGCGGATATTCCAAACATTCTGATATTTGTCCACGACGACCTTTCTCAATTGCTCTTTCAGGGTTTGATTGATTCTTTCTAACAAGCCAGTCGATTGAGATTACAGCGCTGTAGTTCATTATCAGGCACATCTCTTGGAATACCGCTGATTCGAATTTACTTGGTGAGTCCAATAGCTGCACCGTATCTGGTGTAACTAAACACATTGGTTATTTTATAGCTTTCTAGTTTTGAATTAGGTAAACATCTGGCTATTTGCTAAAGTAGTCCAAAAACACAAGTTGCTTTTCCAATCTGTTCATAGATAATAGCCCGGCTACATCCTTGGCATCTCATTCGAATGGTTCGAATTGCATTATATTTAAATTACTAAACCCTTTTTAAAAAGCCTTTCTGAAGAGCTACTTGCAACATGCAACAGCCGATATCTTTTCATCATAATTTTATTTACTCAATATTTAGGTATCCATATTTTTGGTTTTACGATTAACATTGCTCTACTTCCCGGAGAGATTAGTAGTTTTCCTACTCATCTAAGCAGAAAGCCTGCTAGACACCGAAGTTCAATCATATCGAAAAATAAAGACAATTTTTCCATATCGGTCAGTTCCTGGTTCATTTCCCGAAGAGAATAGTAGTATTCCCATTGACCTAGGCCAAAATCCACCTATGTGCCAAATTTCAAGCCAGTCTCTGGTACACTTCCCGAAATTTTTTTTCGTCTAAACCTTCCCAGGAATCAATGAAACTATCTGACGAAATATTAAGTAAATCGGTCGGAATCTTTTGAAAATTACTAGCTCGGATCTTTTCAAGCGGACATTATGTTTATAATCTAGGAAGAGCTCGCCCGAAAATCGCATCAGCGGTTAAAAAGCGCCAATTATAATATGTGATTGATTGATTGGCGCTTTCTAACCGCTGAAGCGATTTTCGGACGATCTCTTCCTCCATTATAAACATAATGTCCAATTTGTGGTTTATGTGACTTGATATTTTACCAACAAATGGAGGAAACTTCAGTTTATACTAAGCTGCCTCCGAACATCTGATGGTTTTTTTACGAGGAGCCTTTATTTCATGTCAGAAATGCATTCGGAGGGGTTGACATTCTCTGCTGAGAGGTGACCGCAGTTAGAAAGTTTAGCTTAATTTTTTACTTTAATTAATTGTCTATAACTTTTTGAATGTGTTTACTACACCAGGATTTGAACCGGAGCTAACCACTCGGCTACCGCGGCCGGTAATTGAAAAGAACATTTCTCTCCGTCATTACAAATGAACAAATCGTTTGGTTGCTTCAATTGTCAACCTCGACTTTAGTTATGATCTACCTTAAATACTTTTCGGTGTCAACGGTGCGTTCGGTGTAAGGTTATTAAAACAACAACAACAAAAAAAAACAAAAAAAAATACGCTTGCAAAAACAGCAGTCTCAAGAAACTTGGCATCTTTGTTTTTGCGCCTGTGGCTATGGCTTACTCTATTGGGGAATTGTAAGTAATAAAACAGTAATAATACAGACGCACTGTCGGCGCCCAGTTGTGAAGGCTGTAACTGGCATAAACGGTTATTCAACTCGACAGACCTTCAATCAAAGCCAGTCAAAGAGTCAATTATGGTCCGTGCTGTGTTTCACTCTCTCACTCTGTGTCAGAAATTCAATATTTTCGTTCTGAAAAATCCAACACCAGCATACATTGCATTAATTCTTACAGATTTACTTCTCTTCTGCCTTATACTTCATTGTTTAACAAACAAATATGCCGTTTATCTGCCATTTCCACCTGCTGATAGCGCATCAACCAATCGCTGTCACGTTTGCGTGTCAGTCAAATAAGCCAAGCTGTCAATCAGTAATGCAATAAAACTTTTGACGCTTATAATTTTATTAATACCACTTAAATCTTTCATATTTATACATATAGGGTTGTTAATTTCATGGTTGCGAAAGTACAGAGTTGTATTTGGATATCTGTCATGCATAACTGTCAAACCAAAAAAGTGTTATTTTAGATATTACTATTGTCATTCAAATGGTGCGGCGTTTCGTGTTATTTGATACAGACAGTTAGATGATTAACAACTCTAGAAACTGGTAAAATTTTGAGCAAACTCAAATAGACTACCTCGGTTACAGATTTTTTAAGGTCGGTGCATTACCGTTCCACCTCATATATCGCGACTGCAAGTGACAGTGTAGTTGAAGACCCGAATGTGTCCATTTCTCGACGTTCTCCATATAAATTCCAGCTCACACAATAACTGAGGCCTGCTGATTATTCACAACACCGTACAAACGTCGATTGGGTGCTTGGACAACAAGCGGTGGACGAAAAATTTTCTTCAGCGACGTGGCACATTTCTCAATCGGGGCATGGATCATGAGAACCATGTAGTGCTTTGCATATATATAATGCCGTTACTAAAGGAATTTAATAAAAAAAAAAATATATTTTAAATCCATTTTATCTACGTTGATTTTCGAATGAGCAAAATGGATAATCCTATAGCCTTTTGTCAATTTCTTCAACAATAAAGAGTCGACTAAACACAGCAAAAAGCAATTGAATTTTGACAGTTCAAATCGGAGTGGCCTTTCTGAAATTTCTCAATTTTAATGATACTCTTGAATAGATTTTTAAATCGTCTGTTTTACTTTGGTAAGTAAAAGCGTAGCTGACTTGTTATGTACCGTCTTTAAAAATATATTACAAGGGGACGGCAAATTCATGTACTTTTCACGCCATCTGCCGGTAAACTACTGCAACTCGATAAGCATAGACAAGAACCATAAAAGCTTCTAAACGTTTCGGCACAACCGAGCTTAAATAACATTTTGTTATAGTCATTTTTACTAAGAACAAGAACCTAGAGAGGGAATGAGGATTAAATTTTATATAAGAGACACTCTGTGGCCACATCAGGGTAAGTATTTTTTTTGAGTCATTTGAAGCTAAGCGATAGCCGAGTGCTTAGCTTACGATTCGGACAATCAGGGAAGAGTTCAAGCATGGCTCAGCCAACATTCCAACTGATAGAAAATTTATTTTTCTCGTTACAGTAGCTGCCAGCTGTTCGGAGACGTCTTAGAAAAACATCATGTTGCACGCAAATTCGAGGAGAAGCTCGGCCGAAAATCACTTCAGCATTTACAAAGCGTCATTATGTATTATATGTATATATATATATTAGTATTGATTAAACGTTCGTATGCTCATATCGTCCAGTTTTGTGTAAGTACTCGTATGTACATGCACACAATCATCATGATGAAAGTTATAAAAATTATAGTAAAATAATAATAACAAACACATCATCACTATTCTTAGTAAGTAAACAACTTAAGTATTGGCATTATAAATGACCATACATCAAAACGTTTTACTAAAAAATTTTAAAGTCAATTAGCAGTTTTTAAAAACTCGATTAAGTATGCACATCACTCGCCAGCTACCGATAATGAACTCATAACAATTATGATAACGACTGATCAAAAAAAGCAACAACATTATAACTTTTTCACGTTTGTATGTACATATGTAATGGCAAGTACACATATGTGCCTTCATATTTAACTGGCTTGAATGTATGAAAAAATGTACATATGTATGCAAATATAATACATGGAAACAGGTAATAGTGTAAAGAAAGAAAAATTTTGAAATACACAAAATAAAAATAATATATAAGTAGATAGAGTAAATTAAGTCAAATAATTAAAATAATAAAAAAAGATACTAAATTAAATAGAAAGAAATAAGGTAAAATTCGTCGCTTATGGATTAGTGATTAGCATGGAGTTTAACCTTGCATGGTTTGATTCTTAGTATAATCAACATATTAAATTATAAAAATTAGTATAATTAGTAAAAAAATATCATTCTTATATAAAAAAGCAGGAATTAAATTGATATAAAACAAAAAAATGGAACAAAACATATTAAAAATTAACTAAATAAAAGAAAACATATTACATGAAAATAATGAAACTATAATAAATTAAATTACTGAACAAATCGAATACTTAAAAATACTAAATGAATAATAAAACTAAATAACAAAGAGAATAAAATGTAACAATAAAATAAGGTATGAAAAATTAAAAAAAAATTCAGAATTTTAAATAAATTAAAGTAAAATAAAAATATCAGATAAATTAAATTATAAAAAAGATAAAATAATATTAAATAAAACAAATGTCAATTGGCTAATGATATGAAAGAAAATATTAACGCAAAAATTAAATAAAATAAAATGAAATAAATTAAAATAAAATAAAATGAAATAAAATAAAATAAAATAAAATAAAATAAAATAAAATAAAATAAAATCAAACTTATGAAATAAAGAATTTCATAAATAAATTTTAAAAACAAATATAGGAAAATAGCATAAAATTTA